GAACGTTTAACCAACAAGGCGGAACGTTGCCTCGTTTTCGCACGATAAAATCCCGTGCTTTTTCAAAGGAAAAAAAAAAAAAAAAAAAAAAAAAAGGAAAAGAGAAAGAGCAATACGAGCATACAATTTGATACGACGAGCGAGATTTTTTTGCGCGACGAAGTAACCCTTGCGCTTTATTCCCCATCGGCGTCCCTAATTGCGTCGCATCCACTGATCCGAAGTGTTTGCAAGCGGTGTCATTCGAAATAACTGCGAGCACGAGGCCTTTGGTGGCAGCGCGTGATATCTGTGCATAGAAACGGAAGCAAATTTCACGAGGGTCGTTAAAGAAGTAAATTTACCAAGTGTTTTCAACCCTTGAATGTTCAACGAACTGGAGACTCGCGCAAAGAGAGAAAGAAAGAGAGAGAGAGAGAGAGAGTGCCGCTCTATCGAGCGAGGTAGCACTTTCAAGCTTGTCCTCCTAAAAATAAATATTGATTCATAGTGCACTCTTGCTAAACTGCGGTGATTCCCATAACTGTAATCAATGTTGAAGTTTCCGGATGAATATTAAAAGGACTTCCATCCCTTTGGATTTGAAAATCGCGTGATCGAAATGCTAGCGAGGCGTTCGCTGTTAATATACGTAGAGGTTAATTTGGTTTGAACGTTTCCAAGTCTAAAATCATTTTCTAGAGAAATATCAAATATCAGTATAGGAATTTTACGGTTTCATCAAGAGGAAATTCAACTATCGTACAATATTTATCTTGTATTATATATTATCTTGTATTATATATTATCTTGTATTATATCAGACGTCTTCAGTTAACTGTCCTTTTTTAAATGGAAATGGAATATTCTTCCTTCATGAAATAAAAATAGAAAAGTAAAATTCTATTTCTTTGTGCTTGGAAATGTTACGTTATATTGTTATGTTATATATCAGTACCATTAATGTTTGTGAAGATATAAAATTGAAAACACTCTGTGCTTCTTTCTCATGAAACGTAAATTTACACATGACAAGGAGATCGTTGCTGTAAATATTTATCGCAAGAATCCGAAACATATTAATTTTAGAGAGTGAGAGATGAGTATTTGCGGCAGCGACACAATTTCTCGGAAACGCCGTTGTCAAGATCAAAAATATCGAATAGTTGCCTGAGAGATAGTGGCGGATGAACGGGGCACGCACGACTTTAAAATAAATACGAGATCGTGTTCGGATCGTGCGGAAGGATGGAAAAACAAAAGCGTGTCGGTCGCTCGGTGAAGTTTCATCGGCTCATTAGAGCGCGCGGTTGGCATGCCCTCCGAGTACGTCCGGAATTAACTTTTCTTGTTAAGCACCGGGGCAAAGATAGACAAGTGAACGGGAACGAACGATTCCGAATATACATGCAGGTATTTATAGGTCGCCGATTCTTCAAAATTAAGAGGCAGGCACGGTAGGAGGGAATCGCGTGGGAGGACGTTGGAAAATTCAGCGATTTTCGTTGAAAGGAAACCATAAATATGCGAGAATGGAGTAAGTTATTATGATCGTCGCTTTCGAAACTCTGAGGAAGTTTAGCGAAAAATTTGCGGAAGAAAATAGATACGAGTCCCTTGTTATTATTCTTTCTTTTGTCAGAAAATCGGATGCAATCACAAAATTCGAAATCAATTAAAATGAGAGTTACAGTGAATCAATATTGTTATAGTTGGATTGTTATAGATGATTATATTATATCATATATCATAGAGAATTTAATAAATACATTAGATCGAGTTAATAAATTTGTCTGCACTTTCTCAAAAGTGTAGATTGATTAAGCACATCGTTATTGCTTTCTGTCTAACAAAGGAATATCTGCATCATTTGTCTTGTTTCTCTATGTCTACAAAAGTGTTTTTATTTTCTGGTTCATCTCAGAATTTCAAAATTTTAATTAATCTCTATTTATAAAGATTAATTTTGACAACGTATCGGCTCGTCTTACTTCAAAATTAATATATTTCTGATTTTTGGAGTCATTGTAACTGAGTAATATATGATAATAATGTATTAATCACATTAGATTAAGTAATAATTTATGTAGATTAGTACAATTTTCTTTTTGTCATAACTTTGATACCACGATTGTGGTTTTGAACTACATTTCAAACTCAGAATTCTCCCTTCTATAACTCCTTCTATAACTCCTTCTATTCCTAACATATCGAAAATTCAGCGAAATTAAAGTTGAAACATTCTCCAGATAAAGGAGACCAAGGAGATTTTTTTTTTTAACTCTGATAAATCCCAAATTTTCGAGTAAAAGTGTGTCAGACGAAGAGGACGGAAATACAATATCTTGTGTATATATAATTGCGAAATATAATTAGTAGACGATGCACAATGCCTATGTATATAGTTTTGTACAGTAAATTAAATTTCAATCCTCTGAAATAGGTAACGAAATTCACATAAAAGTCAACGTATTTACACTACAGATGTTCGAAATGAGCAATTCGTAATTTACAGTTTTACAAACCTGTGTCTTTATAGAGTTTTGAATAATAATGCGATGTAATCTTCTTGCTCTGCCCCCAAAAATTAACCGCCGATGGTTCTAGCGTTAAGGAGGAACTTGCTCATCATCGTGAGACTGACAATTTCTTTCGCTCGTTTCTTGCAGATCGAAGTTTTTTAGTGGCCAACGCTCAACAGGGGCTATGTCACATAATATACTGCTCGGACGGTTTCTGCCGGCTGACGGGGTTCTCGAGGGCGGAAGTGATGCAGAGGCCGGCGATCTGCGAGTTCCTTCATGGGCCAATGACGTCGCCCCATGCGGTCGCAGCCCTCCGCGACGCCCTCGCCGCCGGCGTCGAAAAGCATTTCGAGATCCTTTACTACAGAAAAGACGGTGAGTCACTTTGTTCATCAATTTGTTAACCCTTCGATGAAATATTAAAGGTTAATATACCGTTCGATGAAAAATTAAAGGATAACTCAATTATTGTCATCACCAAAAAATTGTCATTTTAAAGCGCGAATTCTCTACTTTCTACTTTCAGTGTCTTCTTTTTCTTTCTTTTTTACGATGTTTGTACGTCATGCAGCTGTACCTTTTCTTCTTGAAAATTTTACAAATACAAACGTCTCTGAACGGACGCTGTAAAATTTTTTGCCTGGCAGAATCCAGCGCAGAGTTAAAGATTGATAACTTTCTTCTATAACGATTCCGTAAAACTTGATCAATTCTTTCTTTTTTGCAATTTTATTGACCAATCATAACGTAACTTGGATTATTCTAAATGTCAGCGACACGTTTTTTTATTTAAAGTGCAACCACGATGAAAAGTCGTGAGAAGTTTTTATTAAGGAGAGAATTCTCTTTTTGAATTATTCTAAATTTTAATATAATTTTAATATAAAATGTATGATATCCTATAAAGGTTCTTTCACGAATAATATCTCGAAATCATAAAATTTTAATTATAATTAAATTTATAAATATAATAATTATTAAACATAATTAATTTAAAATTAATTCATAATACAATTGAAATCAATAAATTTATTAAATTTGATATAATGATTGGTCATGGCCTAATTTTAACTAAAAAGAATGGAAAATTTTTTTTCATTTAAATATTAATGTGATTCATTAAAATATAATGTAACATAATTCTCTTTGTAAATACAATTCTCTTTGATCACTTGAATATGGAGAGGAATGTTTTAAACTCCGTTCTTATTCCGTTTTGAAAGAAAAAAGAAACTTTTAAAAAACTGAAGTCATCATTCAAATAGAGATTTCGCTTTTTTTCGGTCCTGATTTATTTTTTTTTTTTTTGAATAGTATAATTACACAAAAGACTCTCACTCACTTTTCATTTTTTTTGTTTAGATAGTATAGAAATATTTTATTTCTTCCCTAAACGTGTTATAATTTAATTTACTTGTCCAAAATATGAAATTATGAAATTTCGACACTTCCTTCGTGGTAACAATGTTTAAAAGAAGATGTATCAAAAATTTCTTCAGGTGATTTCACTCAAATTGTAATGATGTCAACGAAAGTTATTCCGTTCAACAGCATGCTTGTGAAGGTTAATAACTAATTGCCTTGGAACTCGACGCCTTCTATCATATCCATCCACGTTCCATCAATGGAATCTATAATACAGGCCTCAATGTCGTAATTTTTATTCATTTCTCAAGAGGATCGAAAGTCCTCCGATTTACAAGTTGCTTTGAAGCCGCCTCAAAATCTCGTTTCAGCGATGGATGCTTCTTATTTTAGTTTAGCATCAAAGTCGTTTTCGATTTGTCATCTTTGCTAGTTGAATAATTCATGCGAATAATCTTATCGTTGGCCTTGGACCTCATTCGAGATTTTAGGAAATTTATGGAATAATAATTTCCGAGATTTTAGGCAATTCAGCGCGAAGGATAATCGTTGCTTAACTTACTTGATCCTTAAATGCCACGATGGGTGAAAATTCACTTCTGTATCAGTTTTTTTTTTCAATTAAAAGTCAATGGAGTTAAATAAGTGGAATTAAATGCTTTGTTCAGTATTAAATGAAGGGTAAAGAGATGATTGTTTGTGCTGGGTAAACCTGGCTGAAGGGTAAAGAAATGAGTGGATGTAAATAATGGCACTGTGTTGGTATTATTAAAAGACGACAATATTCATATAGGTCAAATTGCCTTAACTTTTAAAAATTAACAAATTCGTGTTTGCAGCTTTTAAAAGTAAGAGTTTCATCTTTATTTTTGAAATGTAGGCTTATACGATAAATCAATAACTTTTCACAGACATTAAATAGAATATATATTGTGAAATGAGAATGAGTATAACTCGATCCTTAGATTGATGATTAGACAAATAGATATATTGATAAAATAGAAATTACAAAAATATTCATTGCCAGCACACATTTTTCAAACGTTGACAAAATGTTTAAACAGCCAAGCTTATTTAGTGTATTATTAGTAAGACTAGTACTATGTATCATAATATTTTAGTATCATGATATTTTAGTTTTAGAGACTTTGTTTCAAATTTTATCAATATAACCGTGGTGATTATGATCGTTAGAGTGATATATCTCGTTAGAGTGTGTTAACAATATTTTCTATACATTTCAAAATGATTGGTCTAACCAGAGTTCCATTTGCTTGTAAGAGAAGAAGATTATTCGTTAATTGTGATTATTTATCTGAATTGAAAATCTGCAAACTGGCAATTCTTATAATAACGAAGCAACAAGTATTATACGAATATACGAATGTCTGACTAACAAGTTATACAGCGTTGTAGAGGATTAATTTCATCGAGTGACTAATAGATTCTTTCGCAAACAGAAGCGCGAACATTATAAATTTTTCTGGGGTACGAGCCAGGAAATGAAGGCGGAAACTGGCAACAGTTCCGCGAGTTGAAGCTTCGTAGGGAACGGGAGACCGGACATCCTGAATTCCGGACTCGGCGTGTCGACTAGTACCGTCTTGGCAAGCTCCTATTAACTTTCTACGGACATTGTTTCTTGGATTTTCAAGAATAGGCGATCTGTATTTTTGCCAAAAGTTCTATCAGAAGCGTTTTGTTCGTTATTTTCACTATTCTTCGCTGCCTCAAACGCGTTGACAACCACAATTTGCGCTGACCAGAATTTAGCGAGGAAACGAAAAGGTCAAGTAGCCTTATAAATTCGCGAAAGCAGTAGTTTCCAAAGGAAATATATTTATTACATGATAATCGATTAATTTCAACTGTTATTCATTTTCTGTTGTTTCTCAGAACGTCCAGCTTATGTTCGGGAAGTGATGAAATTATTTTTTTGAATAAAATATAAACAAAAGTATTTGAACACGTACTGCAGAAACTTTCACGACAACGTTTGGAAATTTCGTCAACACTGTAACGAGAAGTGACAATTATAATCATAATCAATCTGAAAATGTACGTATGTAGAAGTTACAAGATATTTATTTCAAGTATGTATTTAATAAAAAATTAACACGCAACAGGAATAGACATCTTAGATATATTGAAAAGATGGTCTGAGTGAATATTGAAACTCATTAATATCTGTCTAATAGATTGTTATTGTTTAAATATTTTTTAAAAATAATTGAACGAAATATAAATATACTTGTATTAGGCACATCTTTCAATATGCGATTCTATTTATTTTCATGTTTTCAGATTTCACTAATATTAATAGTCGTAATAGATACAGTGCTAATGAAATTTCCAAAATATTATAAATATAAATTCTTATAAACACTTTGAAACTTCACATTATCTTCACATTTAGTTTAAACGTGACCGACACAGCCGTCTTATAACGTTGTTAACTCCAAGTAATTTCGTATTAACGCACATATATTCATAAAATAATGTCTGCGTAGTGTTCGAATAATTTCGCGAATCTCTTTATTTTCGAATGATTCGATCTCAGTCTGTTTTTAAATGTTCATTGTGAGAGAGTGTGTTCTGAGGCAGCATTGAAATATTAATTCAATGATAGGTTCTGCGTGCTCTAACTTTGCGTTGAGCAGCTGTAAAGTTCCCGTTAAACTACTTTCCGTCAATCCTGGAAACTTCTTGTTGTCAGTGCTATTAACCGCCTCCCCTACTGACTCACTTCGTAACGGTCATTATGGCAATGCTATACCACGCTTTATAACCTATTTCTTTGGCGAACTTTATCAGTTCAATAATTTGTTGCACTCGACTGTTTCTCGGGCCGTATACCTGCAAATCGAACACGGAACGCTGCTGATTCACGCGGTCTGAATAATGATTAAGAACACTTGAAATCTTTTCCTTTTTTTCTCTTTATCGATTACAGGATACTTGGCATTATACTTAATAGCTTGAAGCTTTTAAGACAGTTTGTTCCTTCATGAGACTTTCACGAAAATCACGTTCGTTTGCGACCTTTATTAAAAATGGAATCTTACTCATTAATTTAATTGAATTCGAAACTTTCGAAGTAATTTAAGCACATGTTCATTTAAGCACAGCCCCTTTTCACATGGATTTTCAGTTTCATACGAACAATTAATTTGACGTTTACCAGTGCTTTATGTATTTATTTGAACGATCGATCAGAGACACGATTCTCTTTGAAAATGGAGAAAACAAGATTGTTTTTATTTTTATTTAACACATTAGTCGCGTCTTTTGTAGGATATTATTGTGAAGCATGATTTTCAAAGTTTCTTTTAATAACTTCTAGATTTTCTACATATATTTGTCCATTCTTTAGTAGCAGTCGCATATTTCTATATAAATAATTACAAAGTAGTTAATAAAAAAATTAGCGATGATATAAAGCGTATAAATACTTTTATTTAATAAAGAAATAAGGCTTTTCACAGTTCCCATGATTCCAATCATTATACATACCTATATCTGCATCAAACTAGAAAACTAGCAAAAGAAGGAAATCAATAATTAAAGAAATGATGATATTTCGATCTTATTTCTTTTCTATTCTGATTTTGTATTTTGTATTATTTTCGTGGAACTATATTTCCAACTTTCTTCTGGTTTCCTTTCCCCGACAGTGGCAATGATCTAACTTGACGAATCTGTCGATATGAAATGATTGTGAATTTAAATATTTTGGTGGCGATTTTTTTCTAGATACGAGTCGTACTGGCCTCTCTGGCGCCCGTAAGAATCGTTCCGTTATTTAGAGCGGGAAAATTGAATTTATTCGCGGACCGATGGTTGGCTCGAACTCGATTTTGCCGTAGTGTCTGACCTTAGGCGCGGCGAGATCAATAGTCACTACTGTATAATTTATCATAGTCGTAGCACGAAGCCTGTTGACCCATCTGAATGCTCCTGATTCGGTCCCCTTCGGATTCAAGTCTCACACTTCCGTGTACTGCGAATCTAACCGTGTCGTTCTCATTTTTGAAAGAGA